TGTCCTCATAACAATCAGGTGGAGGTACTAGACAGACTTTTCGAATGGATCGAACAAAGTCATCCTCGTTGATCCTTGCCTGATAGTGAGGATGGGAAAGCTCACCTTTTCTGAAACAAACATGGTTCAACAATCTCGCGTGAGTTTCCCTGAAGCATAGTTGATAAAAGCCAATACCTGGATCTTTTGTAATCTCTCCAAGCAACCTCAAAGGTGAGGTATGCAACTCATAGGTATTGTCAGCATCCGCTGGATCTTTATCAGCAACTACTTCAGATGGAAAAGATTCTTGGATGTCAGCCTCCAATTTCTTCTCTCCATCATCCTCTCTGACCTCTTTTATCTTCTCCACCGCCTTCTTCTTCTCCTCCATAGTTGCATCATCCTGAACTTCTTCATGAAAATGAGGATCAGGAATTTTATTCAGGCGGCTTCTCTTAGATTTCGGCAGACATGGAGTATCATCAAGGTTAGCATCCATCTCACCTGATGGTAAGTACGATGCAGCTGAGTCCTCACCTATCTCTCTTGACAGAAAGTGTGGTGCTGACTCATCCTTGGCTTCCTCCTGGTCCACTTCCATCTTTAGTCCTTCTGAAGGAAAAGCACCTGCATTCTCATCAAACATTTCTTCATCTTTCTCAGGTTCAACTGCAGGATCTTCTTCAAGGACTTCCTCTTCCATATCTTCATCTACTACAAGTACCATACTTCCCGTATAGACTCCACCAGCAATAGTGGAGACTCTTGTGTATGGAGGAACTTCTTCACCTGCCTCAAAAGCTTGTTTTGCAACATCCTTGGTGAGCAAGTCTTCTATAAAATCTTCCTCCTTGGTTCTTGGAAGAGAATTTGAGGTCTCATAAAAATCTGTCCTATCTGAACTGAAAAACTCAGTTGCCTTCTCATTGTCCTTTTTATCCTTGTAAAGATGAGTAATCTTCACTGCTTCTCCCCGCAATGCCTGATCACCTTTTCTATACTTGTTGACAATGGAGCTCCATACTGGCACGTTGTCATCATCAAAATCAAGCTCCATATCATCTGCCAGCAAGTTTGAGATGTTTTGAGCTGCCTGTTCTTCTTCTTCATCACGTTCTCTTGCACGCTCCTCATTCTTCTGGATCTTGTAGACACCCTTCAGAATGTTCTGTAGTACCTTTAAGTTCAGCTTCGATGATGGCTCATACGTCCCTGAACTTACAGGCTCAACTACAACACGAGAGCAAGAAATCGCCTCCAAAAACTTGGAATTGTATTGGCGTTCAAACTCTTCCTTCTTGATCATCTCATACAAGGGATCAGAAACTGCAACACGCGCCTGAACATATTCACGAAGTTGAAAACATGCATGTTGCACAAATCTGCTGTTGGAGTTGTGAAGAAAACTCTCTAAATGACTCCTGTCACGGTCAATCAAATACCACACAACTCTCGCAGAAAAACGGAATTTCTTGAAGTTCATAGCAAAATGCTTATGATACTTCTCTGGATCCTGTTCTGCATATAAGGCATCCTCTGAAGTCTTGTAAACAGGGAGATTTGTGACTGGATCCAAAATCATAAACTCTTCCCACAAGATCGAATGGTCAAGAACCCACTTGGGAAGCACCTTGATGAAAAAGTCACAAACAAGTTCAGACAAAAGGTGCATGACACGACCAATCTCTTCCTCCTGCTTGTAGCGATAGTGCAATTTGGCAAATAAAGGAGTGTTGAATGCTTCCTCCACTGTGTTGCCAAAACTATCCCACTGAGGTTCTGGAATACCAAAGTTCCAACCCAGCAATTTGGGATCTCTGCACATATCCAAGAAACTTGAAAGTTCTATAGATTGAATACCATGGTCTGTCAGAATTTCAGCCCAGCGGCGTCCATTCTCCCAAGCACGGATGAAGAAAAACTGTTGATATCCAGTTTGTGCCAACTCCATCCACTGACAAATTCCAGGTTCAAAACTCGGTGCATACGTCTTGAGGTCGTCCTCTGTTCCATAAATATTTGGACGTAGCAATTTGTACCTTCTACAAAAATATTCTCTCTGGTGTCTTGTCAACCTGTCCCAATCCCTTACCAGAATCACGTCTTCTCCAGTGCTCTGGAGTACACGTGTTCCTCGGCGATCATGGAGTGATACCATGCCAATGTCATATACCATCCATGGGTTGAGAACCAGGTTGTTGACATTCTGAATGAACCATGTCATCTCACGCTCAGCAACATGAGCAGAGTCATCTTCTTCATCCTGTTGAGGTTCTCCAGAAGTCCTTGCTGTTGATCTCCTTGAAGTGATGTCTCTCCATAGGTGGTCAAAACGAATCACTTCCTCATCAGCCTTCACCAGATTCTGCTGATCCTTGCTCAGAACTAATGGGTGTACCATAAACAAAGATCTCGAGGTAGCACCATCTCCATTGACAATCAACGTTGGAGCAATATAGCCTAAGATACTCCAAGGATCACGATCATCAATCTCCTTAGGTGGAATCAAAGACCATCCAGGTTGATAATGTCCTTCAGGCATCACCTGA